TTATATTAGGAAATTGGTCATGTAATCACTTTATGATTTTCTGAGTTTTGTTCTATATTTGCAAATAGACCCTGAGCTCTGAGCCTAGCCATCAATATCATAGCAACAATGTGTGGTATTCTTTTTTTTTTTTTTTTTTCATTTTATAGCAAATTTTCCCAATTTTATAACTATTTTTCTGTTTATGGTAAAATATTCCCACAGTCCTGTTTGCATATATCTCAGGAAAGAGGATGGTTAGTTATATTTTGTGACCTATAATAGCATGCTCTATATATTTGTGATGAATTTCCTTTTTTGGGTTAAAATTCCCATGGTATCAGAAACACAGCCTCTCACTTAGCTCCATAAACAATAATTGTAGCCCCTTTCCTTACCTTTATAGATATATATAAATAATGTCATGCAGACCATTCCTCATTGAGAAAAACACAAAATACTGAAAAAATTGGACACTTTTTGGAAATTGTCATGCAATATCTCAAAGAGCAAGAAGGCTGTAGCCATATTGCATAATATGACAATATTTTTACATAGTTGTCTTGATTTTCCATATTTGGATATGGACCCTGAATACTGGACACAGCCCCTTCAACACCATGGCAACAGAGAAGATCACTCTTAATTTTGGGGTATTTTTTTCTGATTTTCTGGCAACTCTTAGGTGGTTTCTATATTTAGATATTGACCCTGAACCCTGAACACAGCCTCCCCACCTTACTAAACAATATTCCGATTTTTTACATATTTTTTGCTGATTTCTTTTACCATTTTTCCTGATTTTATGGCTGCTCTTCTGTTTAAGGGAAAAGGTTCCTGTGGTGATGAAAGGTAAATGAATCAATCAATCAATGAATGAAAAATTTGCCTAAGTCCTCAGTTGATAAAGAATGAGTCTTACTCGTAAACTCGTAAGGACTCATAATTTCTACCGATTTTACGCTCGCTATGCTACACCTAGTGACCTCATTAATGAATTAGCATCCCATTTATCATTAGAATTGTTTGCCTCAGTGACAGCAGTGATTCATCATCAATACCTCAGGGTGTTGAGCCTGGACAATATTATCAAGGTCAGTGATGTCCAAAACTTGTTCAAGAGAAACATCTGCCTTGATTCCTGTGCCTTTGCCTGTTGGTACCTGTTCTTCCAGCTTGTCAAATTCCACATCAATATCTTCTTCAGTCAACTCCTCAAGCCCCTCAAGGTCACTGTTGAAATTGGCTAGGAGGGGAGTCCAATTGAATGCCCATACTAAATCCTCTGCTCTTTCCACATTAATCCCACCATCAGCTTGAGTATGCATATGTGTGTGCTTTTGACACATTGATTTTCCTGTGTTAATTGCATCCTCCTGCAGTTGGCATGTGTAATGATTTTGTAGTGTTCCCAGTGTCTCCATATGAGGTACTGTGAGACAGGAATGCTTGACACTTTGGACGCCGCCAAGGTTGGAAAAAAAGTGCTTGACCTCAGCCACATGAGGAACAATGCTGAATAACTTGATTGCCAGGCCTTTGAGAGGGTGGGAAGTGACATTCATGAGGAGGGACTTCCACCAATCCCTTCCATCAGCTTTCCCTCCCTGAAATGGAGTGTGACTGTGAAAGTACCCTTTAATATCCCTGAGCAATGCTGTTGCCATCTCCTTGGTCCAACCCCAACGTGATGCAATGTCGAGAGATATTTTGTACATGTCCTCTAGTTTGCGCAAGTGATGAGAATTTGAGATAGCAAGTTTTCAGAGGGGGTGGAGGAATAGGCTAAGCCAATGGAGGTCAGTGTTCATATGGTGGAATTGAGTATTCAAAACCTGCTGAGCATGTTGCAGGAATCCTGAGTCATCTCCAGATTTGAGGGGTAATCAAGTGACTTCACGGTGGGCCCAAATTAGTTGAAGCATGCAGTCTGCTAAGGTAGCATCTCGAGCTTCAACATTGCCAATAATGTCCATGAGGGGTTTGCAGACCTGAATCAGCTGGTCAGTCTGATGCCAACAATCAATGTCGAAGATCGTTGCAATGACATCCCTCACAACTGGAGTCAGACCACTGACTGAGTGTTGTGCATTGTGACTAGTGTTTTAAAGTCCAGTCCAGTCCAGTTTTTTACCTCAAAATGAGGCAACTGGCAACCGCAACCGCAACCAGTCCAGACCAATCCAAATATTAAGGGATTGCAACCAGACCCTTTTAGACCAGTCCTAATCGGTCCACAACACAAAGAAAACCAGTCCAGACTGGTTGCGACCGGTCTTTTGTTGAAAATTTTATTGTACCACAGAAACTAAATATTACCTCACATACATAGCATACATAGATAGATATTTTAATTTTCTGTAGACTGATTAAAAATTTAAGCAATTCTGTGAAGATTTGACTGAGATATGGCAAAAACAGAAAGGATATACATTCAAATTGCATATAAAAATGTTTTTGGCCATATCTCAACCAATTCTTGACTGCCTTTGATGATTGAGGGACCAAAAATTAAGTAAAAATGTGTGCAAGTAAGGTCCAACATGTTATGAGATTAAAGACCAGTTGCAACCAGTGTAAACTGGTCTTTTTCGGTTTTTAAATATTTACAAAAACATGGCAACTGGCAACTGGACTGACCACAAATGTGGGCAACTGCAACTGGAAAAAGACCGAGAAGGTGCATCATTTGAACACAGATAGGCAAGTATACAGGTGTGTAATATATATGGTATTGTGAGATGCACATATTCAAGCAGAGCATTCAGTATCATCCAACATATAGAGGGAAATGATGGTAAGGCATTGGATAGATTTGTGATTCTAATCTTCGTGATATTGGTAAATTGAACTTGTATCTCATTCCATCCTTGCGATCGAAGGTATGTGTAAAGTGTATGTGCTCTATTCAATCCCTGCAAAATGTATCTGTACTTTCTGTGTGTCTCATTCAATCCTTGCAATTGAATGTACGTGTACTTTATCTGTGCCTCATTCAATCCTTGCAATTGAATGTATGTGTCATTGACATGTGCCGTATCATGACTACGATTATGGTAGTCTGGTGCCAATAGGCCATGCCTCTCAACCAAGGTAGCTGGTCGAGTATCAAGTGCCAAAAGGCCGTGCCTCTCAACCAACGCAGCTGGTTGGGCAAAAAATGCCAAAAGGCTCAGATTGTTTCCAATCTCTATATATGGTTTGAAGTGATGACAGGAGTCATCAAGCAAATGATGTGCGTTGAAAATCAGGGATATGCTGATGAGGATAAGAAGCATAATGAAGAAAGCAATGGCTCGTGTAGTACGCATGATGGTAAGATCAAGAAAGAAGAATGGAAAACTTACGCAATTGAACTTGAACATTCACGTGACTGGACAAACAAGTGCTTATATTCATAACAACACGTGACCTATATGTACACAAATTCGGATGTCTTCTCACTCTCTTTGATTTTTGCTCATGTGTATACTATTATGCATGATCAAACAAGGCCATAGCTTGCTGTTCCCTCATAGATTTGAGTTCCCATGTTTCCTTATGTCCTTTGAGCTTATTCCTCCAATCTGATACTGTAAGAGGTTGAGCTGCACCCAAACGAATATCTTGCAAGCGTTTAACATATGTTGATTCCAACATCTCATTCCAGTGACCATAACTTTCACATGCATTGTTGTTGTCAAAGATGTTGTAAGGTGGCCACCATGATTTGTTGGAATATACTTTGGCAACTCCTTGATTTCCCAGAATATTCAGAAAGTGAAGAGTTTCTAATAAGAAACATACCTGTTGAGCACACATACATTATGAGTCCTCTGAGTTTACGAAGAGACTCGTTTATTACCCAGGATCTCAGGACTTTTTTCAGCGTGGTAACGCTGAAATTTGACTTTCTCCCACGAAAGTGATTTCTTCCCACAATCATCTGCTTGGTTCGCCTACATGACTTTCCTAGTCTACTTGACCATTCCTTGATTATTACTGTCTTTTAGCCCTATCCAGGTTGTCGTTGATGTAGCTTGTGGCTAATATATTGCTCTATTTGGCTTCCAGACTCTGATGAATGAATGCATTGCCTCTATTTTCATGTTCATGCAACTCAACTTGTTTACATTGAAGGTACAACAATTAAGGTCCTGACAACTTGTGCAAATGAGCCCATGCTCTAGTGAAACAGGCCACAGGAATGTACTGAGCAGTTGGTGAGCATAAGGCAAAAAAGCGAAAATACAAACCTACTTACCTGGATGGGAACTCAACCATTTTGTAAATGGCTTTGTGGAGCATGTTTGTGGAGTGCGTAGGTATTGAATTGAGTCCACGCCCATGTGAAATGGACCACAGAACAATTGGTGAGCATAAGGCAAAAAAGCAGAAATACAAACCTACTTACCTCGATGGGAGGTTGACCATTTTGTGAACGGTTTCATGGAGCTTGTTCGTGGGGTGTGTAGGTATCAAATCAAGTCCACGCTCATGCAAAACGGACCACAGGAAGGTACTGAACAATTGGTGAGCATAAGGCAAAAAAGCGAAAATACTAGTGTTTGGAAGTCCGGTCTCGTGACTGGAAAAAGACCGTAACCAGACCGGACCAAGACCGCAAAAGACCGGACCTGCGGTTATGGTCTTTTATTTTTGAAATGTAAAGACCGCAAAAAGACCGGTTAACGTGAACCGGTCTTGACCGGTTTGGACCGGTTTTTTGTAGCCCCTTAAATACCCTTTAAAACGCACCCAAGAACGTACGATTTGGTAAAAAAACGAGAGAGATATGAATTAAAATGTAAATTACTTTTGGGAATAATAGATGTACCAGACTTATTTTATAGAAGCACCAATACCTAACGGAATTTAACGTTCTTGGGCTCGTTTTGAAGCTATTAGAGATGTTAATAAATTTACCGATTCATAATTTTAAAATATTGGCCTAAAGACCGGTCATAAACCGGTTAAAACTGATGCAGACCGAAACCGGTCTATAGACCGCAAAAAACTGCGGTCTGCGGTCTTTTTGCGGTCCGGTCTGGTCTTTTGACTTCTGGGGAAAAGGCAGACCGGTTACGGTTACGGTTAACGCCCCTGGGCATCAAAAAACCGGACCGAACCGGACTTTCAAACACTAGAAAATACAAACCTACTTACCTCCATGGGAAGTTGACTGTTTTGTAAACGGTTTTGTGGAGCTTGTTCGTGGAATGCATAGGTATTGAATCGAGTCAATGCTCAAGCAAAATGGACTGCAGGAAGGTACTGAGAAGTTGTGAGCATAATGGTGAATATTCCACATTAAAAGGAACGACTCACAAGTTGAGTCACGGAAATTTCCGAAAATGATGTACTTCCCTTGCGGGCTACCTTCAAAATGGAAGGTAGCCCGCAAGGGAAGTACATCAAAATGGAAGGTAGCCTGCAAGGGAAGTACATCATTTTCGGGCAATGCCGTGACTCGTCTTTTTGCCCTTAGGCCAACCTCTGCCCAGGACCTTCCTGTGGCTCGATTCGCTTCAACGTAGACTCGTTTGGATAGTGCTTCACGTCCCGAAAACGCTCCAAGAAACCGTTTACGAAACCGTCAACTCCTCGTGGAGGTACTTCTGTTTGTACTTTCGTGTTTTTGCACTTCTGCTAAACTCTGCCCAAGGCCTTCCTGTGCCTCGATTTCCCTCAACGTAGACTCGTTTGGATACTACTTCATGTCCCGAAAACGCTCCGACAAACCGTTTACGAAACCGTCAACTCTTCGTGGAGGTACGTCTGTTTGTATTTTCGTGTTTTTGCACTTCTGCTAAACTCTGCCCAAGACCTTCCTGTGTCTCGATTTCCTTCAACGTAGACTCGTTTGGATACTACCTTACGTCCCGAAAACGCTCCGACAAACCGTTTATGAATCCGTCAACTCTTCGTGGAGGTACGTCTATTTGTACTTTCGTGTTTTCGCACTTCTGCTAAACTCTGCCCAAGGCCTTCCTGTGTCTCGATCTCCCTCAATGTAGACTCTTTTGGATAATACTACACGTCCCGAAGACGCTCCAACAAACCATTTACGAATCCGTCATCCCTTCGTGGAGGTACGTCAGTTTGTAATTTGTGTTTTTGCACTTATGCCCTACTCTACCCAAGACCTTCCTGTGGCTCGATTTCCTTCAACGTAGACTCGTTTGGACACTACTACACATCGTGAAAACGATCCAACAAACCGTTTACGAATCCATCAACCCTTCGTGGAGGTACGTCTGTTTGTAATTTCATGTTTTTTGGACTTGTAATAAACTATGCCCAGGACCTTCTTGTGGCTCGATTCCCTTCAGCGTAGATTCGTTTCGATACTACTACACGTCCCAAAAATGCTCCAACAAACCATCCATGAATCCATCATCCCTTCGTGGAGGTATGTCAGTTTGTATTTTCATGTTTTTGCCCAAGTTATGGTGAACTCTGCCCAAGACCTTCCTGTGGCTCAATTTCCTTCAACATAGACTCATTTGGACACTACTTCACATCTTGAAAACACTCCAACAAACTGCTTATGAATCTGTTGACCCTTTGTGAAGGTACTTCTGTTTGTAATTTTGTGTCTTTTGAACTTATGCTAAACTCTGCCAAGACCTTCCTGTGGCTTGATTCCCTTCAGTGTAGACTTGTTTTGATACTACTACATGTGTGCAAGTAGTAGATGTCTGCAAGTAGTAGAATAGCAGTGGGTACCCTTCACACCTTTAACACCAGTCTGTTCAATGGTGGCACCCCCGCAGCACAGTTGATGGTAATTGAATCCATGTGCTTGGATCTTGGCGCTTAGCGTGCGTCCAATGAAGAGGAAATGGTGGGATTGGAGAACCCAGTGAATTACTCCACAAGATGAACATGGTTGAAGTGTTTGGACTGGCCAAGATGACAACAGGTGCATAGAGATGGCATGGTGAAGCTGGCGTATTGCTCAATGAGACAATTGTGGTAGATACGTGGCACTTGAATCGTTTGGATTGGCCAAGACAACGATGAGCATGCAAAGGAGACAGATATGCAGTAGATATGTTGCACAAATCATTTGGACTGGCCAAGACGAAGAGCACTCAGCAAAACACCAGAGTGCACCACAAAGAGAGGGTGCTGTGGCAAAGAGAAGGTGCCGTGGGAAGTTGAACTTGAAGAGCTAGATTTGATGACGCACGAACATTTCCCAATCATTTGATGGGGGGAAGTTTCATGCGTCATCGGAATCTATGATGAATACTACTGAAGTTGCACAGCCTCAGTACAAATGCTGAAGATTCTATGATGCATGAACATTTCCTGATCATTTGATGGGGGGAAGTTTCATGTGTCATCAGAATCTGTGATGCCAAGAGGACAAGAGATGAGAGATGAGATCTAAAACTTACCCCCTGAGATCTGCCCCCTGCATTTGTATATTGTGGCAAAGATTGTTTAAAAAGGAAATAGATCATGTCATCTACTTCAGAAATACATGCTATAGCTCAATTAGAGATTCTGTGCACCCTATAACATCCCAAAATCAACATTGAAATGACTCCCACTTATTTGTGAATATTTGTTACTGTTTAACCTGTATATCAATAGTCTTTTAATTGATCAGATGTAAAATTTATCATCTATTTCGTTTTTGCAACTGTTTATTTGTGTTTGTTTACCAGGAACATAACATCACCATGACCACGGAAATGAGGAGTACCCATCACAAAAGAAATCATGTTATTTGGATCAAAACTCGCTGAGTTATACATGAATCTGTATTTATTACCAAAAATGGTAACTGATCTGAGATCTACTATGACGCACGAAACTGTCCCCCATCAAGCGATCAGGCCCAGTGAAAATCAACTCCGATCAGGCCGAGTCACAGTGACTATGGTCGATTTGTGTGGCATGTGTGAGCATCAATCGAGTTAGATATATTTCAGGCGATTTGCAAGGCTGACCCACACTAAAAACCGCACTGCGTTAGGGACTGTCACGGATAGGCTAATCCCGGGTAAACCCGAAATCCACCCATATTTGGGCTCAACTGATGGATTCGGGTAACTACCCGGACTATCCGCAGGTATCCGTGGGTAAATTATATATTTTTAGACCTCTTTGGGATATTTTAAGTGTAGGCAATAAAAACTGCAGAATAGGCCAAAACCAGTGTTCCCCCAATATATTTGTGTTGAATACCACTAAGCTACGCGTAGCTTAGTGGTATTCAACATAAAGTAAACCCGACGGCTCAGTGGCTTAATCCCTGAAGTCTCGTGTTCGACTCCCGCTTGTGCCAGATAGCGTAAGACCCATGATGGCAGACTACAGTGCCAAATGCATAAAGGGGCGACATTATACTATACTAGTTGAATTACTACAGCACGCGTAGTCACCGGCCCCACTGTATGGGGTCATAGGGGGGTTATTCACTGACCACTGGGTCGGGTTTACTTTATGTTGAATACCACTAAGCTACGCATAGCTTAGTGGTATTCAACAATTTGCACTCAATTTCTAAGTTTGGTGATGGAATTGTACATCCATCATATGCATAAAACAAACTTACAATAGAAAAAGGGATCAGGTCCAAAAAATGAATGAATAAATATGATCTAAACTCATATTTAGAATATGCTGAACTTCCTGGGCCAAGATTTTAGCGTATTCTGAATATGAATTCAGATTATATTTAATTGTTCATTTTTTGGATCTGATCCCTTTTTTTATTGTAAGTTTGTTTATGCATAGAATCATCCAGCCGTACGG